GAAAAAATCTGGATAATGTCTTTTCTACAGTGGGTTACAGTGTAGATTGTGTAAGATTTCATATAATTGTACCTCTGTTGGCAAATGAATTAGCCATGACTGCAAGAACCCCAGAACTCCTCAGTGGTTTTGCTAAACATTTCATTTTTTCAGAAGGCTGGAAAAGAGACAAATGAATTGGTTCTCCTAAATCTGATTCTAACTAATTGGGAAATGACAGTTGAAGAGTTAAAAGTAGTAAATACCTTGTGGAAATGATTGTCTTATCCTGTACTTCATGATATTAGAGAATGAGATATTGGATGATAATTATACATGCACACTAAATTTCAAGTCAGCCAATTTCAAAATGCTAAGAGGAGTTTTAGACAAGATACCACTGATGGAAAGCCTCTGTTCAAAAGGGATGGGGGAAACTTCAGAACATCACAAAAATAAAATACTAGAAGTATAATTGTGCACAATTCGAATGAGGAAGAAAACATCAGGCGCTGTTTAGGAAATGTTCTCTCTTAGGCCCAGTACTCTTCAATATCTTCATAAATGACTTAGATGAGAGAATAGAAGTGGAACTTATCAAATCTGCTGACACTAAGCTGACAGGTATATATCCCAGAAGACAAGTTTAGGATCCAAAAAGATCTTGACAGACTTGAACAATCAGCCCTATCCAACAAAATGAAATTTAATGTGGAGTAAAACAAGGTTTTACACTGAGGCAGGAAAAACCAAAGGTACAAGTACAGATTAGGTGAAACCTGGTTCAAAAACAGTAACTGTGACAGGGACCTTGGAGTCCTAGTGGATGATCACTTAAATATGAGCCAGCAGTGTGCGGCGGTAGCCAAAAAAGCTAATGCAATCCTTGGTTGTATAAACAGAAGCACAGAATCAAAATCATGTGAAGCATTAGTACTGGTTTATAAAGCCACACCTGGAATACTGCATCCAGTTTTGGTCACCACATTTCAAAAGAGATGTTGAGACTTTGGAAAAAGTGCAAAGAAGAGCAACTAGGGACAAAAACATATGAAGAACAGTTGCAGGATTTGGGTAGAGAAAAGAAGGATTAAGGGGGGACATGATAGCAGCTGTCTGTTTTGAAGCTAACCCAACCCCTTTATCCATGAACCCTCATTCCCAGAACAAGTGGACGCTGGGAAACCAGATTCCATTTCCTTTAGTATTTGGAGGGAAGCAGAAGCACCAGGAAGAATCCAGCCTAATCTGTGGCACAGGGTTATCTGAGGACAAAATCCACATTCCATACACATAGCATTGCTGGTGAGATTTAGATTTATCTATGCATGTATTTGTTAATTGTTATGTTTAGCAGCAATACTGCCTATTTTGTATTTGGATTTTTATTACAGGTATTTCTATTTTTTCCCAGTTTCACCCATCCTGTTCCTTTCATAAAGCATTCAGATCTACTCACACGGTCTGTTTTATTGAAGAATAGGTGGGTTTAGCTGTATGTCAAGCTGCATACACAGTAACATGTAGTAAGGACAGAACAACAATATTCCAGTATTTGAGAGGCTGTCACAAGGAAGAGGGGGGCACTTTATTTTCCAAAGCACCAGAAAGCAAGACAAGAAACAACGGCTAGAAACTAATCAAGGAGAGAAGCAACCTGGAATTAAGGAGAAACTTCCTACCAGTGAGGACAATTAACCAGTGGAACAGCTTGCCATCAGATGTTGTGGGTGCTTCATGATTAGAGGTTTTTAAAAAGAGATTGGACAGCCATTTATCTGAAATGGTATAGGGCAGGGGTTCTCAACCTTGGAAACTTTAAGACTTGTGGACTTCAACTCCCAGAATTCCACAAGTCTTAAAGTTGCCACGGTTGAGAACCCCTGGTATAGGGTCTCCTGCTTGACTAGAAGATCTCCAAGGTCCCTTCCAGCTCTGTTCTGATTGTGGTTACAGACAGTGTTTGCCTGAGCTAAAAGAGTCATGTATATAGGAAATAGAATATAGTGTCCTCACCAGGGAAAGGTATCAGGCAGCAATATCTGTTTATAAATGTCAGAAAGTCTACAACACTGATGGAATTTAGGTTGGCATGGAAAGCTAAAATGAATTGTAAAGGTTACCTTGGGTATGTCAGTAAAAAGAGGAAGAAATGGATGAGACAGCCTTGCTATTGCAGAATGGTAGGATGATAACATGTTAGGAATAAAGACGAATTTTTCTCAGTTTTGTTTTAGTCTCCTCTCTGAATGCAAAATATGTTCCAAGAAAATAGGAAGAAAAAATGGATGGATTGGCAACAAAAGAACAATGAAATAGTTAAAGATGCTTATTATGATCAACTTCAAGTATTCAGGACTAAATCAATTATTAAGAAACTAAATGAAACCTGCAGATAGAATCTTGAAAATTACATCTGTGAACATTGAAAATCATGGAAGAGAGGATTGGTATCAGGAACTGGAAATTGATTGTATCTTCAAAGAAGTGGGCCATTCTGTCATTACGTGGATAGTGAATTGGTTGAATAATCTAATCCAACAAGCATACATCAATGAGTTCAGGTTATCTGGAAGGAAAAATATGTAAGGTTCATTTCTAAGGTATTGTTCAATATATTCATAAATAACTTTGATTTGGGGGTTAAAAATTAGGATTACAGAATTAATAGATGACAAGAAGATGTGGGGGGTGCAGTAGAACAGAAAGAATCAAGAGGGTCTTGACAAGCTGGAATGATGTATAAGGCCTACCAGGTAAATCTCAGTAGGGAAAATTTCAATTTTGGTAAGAAAAAACAAACAAACAGTATAGTCTGGCAGAAGTGGGACCTGCAAAACAAAATATAAATGTCTTGACTTAATGAATCACAAATTGAACTTAAACCAATAGTGTGATATGGTTGCTGCAAAACAAAACACTGCCACAAAGAAGTATAGAATGAATTTCTGGTCGTTTAGTGCTGAGCTGAAGAGTATCCCTCATTTCTTTCTATTCTGTGTTGGGCAGCATACAACATAATCTATGATAATCAATCACCCACTAAGTTTCAGGGAGAGCCTATTATCTTTACACCTTTAGGTCACTCATCCCTTGTAGAAGGTGTGCTTATTCCCAACCCATCATGAATACAGCAGAGAGTTAGTTTGTATAAATGTATAACATTTGAAGAATGAGAGTAATAATTACATTCATTCTCTGTGATTTATTGTTACTGCAGCTCACTGACTGTCTATCAGTAAATATAGAAAACTATACTTAGAGTCTGACAGTATGCCAAGTAAGGCAAAAAGCAAACCTTCTTTTGCTATACAGAAAAGAAGGATGGGAGGCAAGGATCCATCTTCCTAATTATGGTTCTCTTTCTTAGAAGAGTAATTATGAAGAATCTTTTTGTTCTAAGTTGAGGTTAATATTGCTTGGAGGCTATAAATTGCCTGGCTGGATTGATTCTATTTTAGTACCAGAGTATACGAAATACTGTTTATCAATGCTTTTGATGCAGTGAGCCACTTTGATTCAATAACCCTTTCGCTTGTATGTCAATATGATGAAGTGATAAGCAAAGCCTGTGCTGAGAAGAAATCAATAAGAAAAATCCCTTTACAGCTTACCTTTGCATTATCTCTCATCATTACCATTAACCCCCATGTATATGGAAGGTCGAGGATCGCTCTGGGTAAATTCCACATTTCTGCTGTTTTTGTTGTTATCAGATTTAACATTAATATTTAATGACATTAAATTGGCACTTTTTTATCTCTCATGTATGTTATCATTGTTCACATACATACACTTGCTGAAAAGTTAATATTTCATTCAATATTTTAACTCATCACAAAAATACAAGTACCTAACCTCACACTGAGATATAAGAGAATATAAAATTACAGTGCAGAGGGGAAAATCCAAAAACGGTAAAATAAAATGTTAGTATTTAAAAGCATACAATGGTTGCTGATTCACAGCATATTAGATATAAAAGATCAACTTAACCTTATTCACCCTTTAACCTTCTATTGATTCTTTGGTTATACAAATGTCATTACATTAATTAATCATTTCCATTGGACTTACTTGTCTGTCTTCAGAGCCTGAATAGCAAAACTATGAACCATTTAATCACCTTGCTTTATCTGAAAAATGCATTGATCTTCTTAGCTTCCATTTTAGCTCAATATATAAATCTTTTTTAAAAAAATCTTCAATATGCAAATTGTTTTAGAAAAGTAATAAACCTATTCATGAATAGTAATACTATAAATTACAATCTGGTTATCTTTGTATTATTTGTCATACAACAACAATTTGGGGGAGGCAGATTAATGAGTTTGCTCCTTTGATCTAAGTAGAAGTAAGGACATCCTCTTCTTAGCATTCTTAGCAATGACTCTTGATTGTTTCCTGTCTTTATAAAAAATTATCACGATTCTGATTGTTTTGCTAGGAAACTAATATTCAGATTAGATAATGTTATCTTCTGTGAAAGATTTTTATATTCTAATCTAAAGATTAGCCTTAACATAGAATATATCCAGTGCTTTTAAGTTATAATAGCTAGTATTGTTACTATAAGTTCCATTTTTCTTTAATACAAGATATGTTTAATGTATAAAGCATGTAGTATTTTTTAAAAAACATCAAGGCCATAAGCAGATTGTTCATGGGCAATGCAATCACATGATTAATTTATTATCCAAGGCCACTCTTTTTCATTAATATCTATAATCTTACATATTGTATAGTAAGAAAGAATATTGCTTACTGTGTTAAGAACTCAAGGTACCTAGTAAATAAACTGTGTAATCTTCCTTTCTTTTTTTCAGTAAGTATTAGTTGTTTTAAAAATGTTACATGTATTAACTAAATCATATTTTATGGAAATTTTAATAGAAATTATTAATGAAAACTTACTATCCATGTCTCTTTTTTACACTGAAATTAAGAAATTCAGGCTTTCATTTTAAATTTAAATTTCACTCTATTTAGCACCCAGCTTAGTAGAAAAATATTTTTCTTACCATTCACTTGAAGAATATGAGTCTGATAGATTTTATCATAGCCATCTGCATAGCAGCTATAATTCCCCATGTGAGTTGTAGTAATCTTAGTAATATATAGAGACCCATCATCTCCAAAATCCTAAAGAAAAAGAAGAGGTGATCACAATTACCTTCAGAACATTATCCTGTCTATTGAATTTAAAATAAATAAAGTGTAATAGTTTTAATCTCTTATACCAGGATTAAACCTTAATTTTTAAGGTCTTCAAAACTTTCAAGCTATATAAGCCTGATTCTGTAGATATTCACTGCATTTTGCCAGATGACAATCTTGCACCATCCATGATATTCAGATTGACGTCTGGCAAAATGCAATTTTCATGGTGTCAATCAGACTACAATGTTCATTTTTTGAGTTGTGTATGGGGAGAACTTATACATAGCGTGGTGAATTATTTGTTTGGTATTAATAGTAGTAAATACATACAAAGCAATAAATAGTTGAAAGCTTCAGGAAGACAAAGCACTTTAATCTTTCCATTCAATGGTTTAGATGTTTATGAGCATGCAATATTGTAAATTAATCTTCTTTCAACTAGATTAGTATTAAGACAAGAGATTGATTGAACTAGTTTTTTAATTTGTCACATTTTGAGTCTCATTCATGATGTAAATCAGTTGATGTTGTACAATATATAATGCAACACTAAGGTTCCACTAATATAAGAAAATTAGTTTTCAAAAACATTTTCATAGGTTGTACTGAAATTGTTGTCATTATAATTTAACATTCACATGAAGATTAAAAATAAACAACTAGCAATCTAGCATAGCAGCTATTTTATTTTGGCTCTTGAAAAAATAAACAATAATTTTCACAGGAGATTCTCATACTGCTAGTGTTCTCTGCAGATTGCATTAATAGTTGCATTAAATGTACACATAATATATATCTGTATCAGGGAGGGAAGAGATATGGGAGGAGATATGAGATATGTCTTGAGTGTTTTTGTTTAATGCAAGCTGTTGGCCCAAATATGGGAATAAGAAATATTTTGCCTGTATCAGCTCAGTCTAGGGCTATCCACAGGCAGCAGTCGCTACTGCTACATCATTTATACGCTAAATTTTTGGACTGCTAACAAAGAGTTAAAGGGAGACTGATATAGCTATTTCGAGCTAATTAGCTCTCATCAGCCACCCATACCCTTCTGAGATTCGAACCTGGTGCTTGCACGTTAGGTAGCTGTATTATCATTTATGATGTCGCATAGTGACTGCTGCCTGTTGATAGCCCTAGACTGGGCTGATACATATTTGGGCCGACAGGGTGCATCAAAAAACACTCAAGACATATCTCCTACCCTGTCTCTTCCCTTCTTGATACAGCTGATAAAGTGAAAAAGAGCCTGTAGCCTAGGGGTCAGCATAGCTGCCTAATGTGCAAGCAGCCCAAGCAGTCCACATACATACATATAAGGACATATTCCACATATATTCTTTTAGAGAAGTCAACATAATATGTGAAAAAAGGAAGTCCCAAGATAGATAATCAAAGTCAAAAAAGAAGTTAAGTAAATTGGAAAAGTGAATCACTGATTTAATGAGGATATATATTAGCCCTTGGGAGAGAGATGCTATGACTTCTTTCTCCTCTCCATTTTCCTGTGATGGAAAAAAAATCAAATGCATGGCACAGATAATTCAGCAATAATCCCAAATACATGTTTTAATGGTCTAAGACTATCAAAACTATTTCTATCCCACTTTTTCAATGTATATGCATCACACTGAATGTTTTACAACTTTTAATATAAATGCAATATTTAGAATGTTTCAAAGAAAAAAAAGTTTAAAAAAGAAAAATAAAAAGCAGGAAATTGTTCAGCTAGTGGAATGAATATTTTTTTAAAAAAAATATTTTATTTGATAATGAAGCACTGTCAGAGGGGTTGCCAATCTAATTTCCTGAAATGGGGAATTCCAAAGTCCAGGTGCAGCACTGAGAAAGTCTTTCTTTGCTTTAATCAAATATACTTCATGTAGTTGGCAATAGAAAAGGGATTTCCCTTTAGATATTAGGAAGTGGGCAAACTGATATTGGAGGTTCCTTGGTCTTGAGAGCTTTGAAGCTTAGTGGAACTTAGTGGAACACTAAGATTTAATTCTACTGAGAACTTGGAAATAACTGAAGTATATTTCATTTCATCATAAAAAGAGAAACTTTGCACATCAGCTTAAGTAAAATTGTCCTTCTAAAGCAATCCAAAATGATGCATTATATTAAATATTTCTAAAAGGGCAACAGAATCAATGGATATACTCCAAGATATAGCATCTGGGTAGAGCAACAAAGCTGTGTCAGTCTCAAACCTAGAGTTGAATCGAGGCTGAAATGGATCTATATAATCTGTTTCATTTAAAACTTCTGGACTTTAGGTGGATACAAATTCATGTTCAAATGAGATGCCCAAGAAAGGAAAGTTGCAGAGCAAAGAAAATAATTAGGGTTGTCTACAGCTTTGTATTCAGTTCTAAAAAGATGTTTGCAGGCATGAAGCATTTTCCTGTACCTCTTAGAAAAAAAATCTTACATTTTTACAGGGTTCTGTCATTATCTCCATAAGGGACTATTATTATGGTTTGTCACAAAGCCAGATGTTTAGACTGAACTTGGCATTTTTATCCCCCGAGTGAATATTTCTCAAGGACCCAGGATAAGCAGATGTTGATGGCATTAAAGTTACCATTGCAGACAAGTAAAAATGTCCCCCCCCTCTCTCATTTTCTCTCTCTCTCTCTCTCTTTCTCTTTTTCTCTCTTTCTCTCTGAGTTGAGCAATGTGAATTCAGATTTGTTACTGATTACTCCCAGGGGCAGTACTTCTCCAGATGTGAATTACAGTTATAAGGTAAGATACCTTCAAATGTGAATTTGTTTTCCATTGAAATATTACAATAGAACTGACAGATGCATGAAATGAAAATGCAGCTTTCTGGCATTTCATTTTGTTGTGGAATTTTCAAGAAGAAATTAGCTCATCTGCATAGCAGTGAAGTCTAAGCATTTTGATGTGCTGTTTCCATGTATTTTCTAATGCTATTTTCTCTGCAGCTGCCCAAACTATTCAATAAAACAATCAATAACAAAACCATAAACATGTCTAAAAGCAGCATAATGTGAGCTTTAAGAATAGTTGCCATAACAAACACCACAGGTAGAACCTCATTCATGAGTGTTCTCTTCTCCTTCCAAAAACAAAGATGTACTGGAAGGATTTTGCACAAGTAAATCCTACAATGTTCCTTAAGCAATGGCAGGAAGATGTATTTTCATAAAATCAGTAGGATTTTCCATTCTTTGGATCCTTTTTGCATTACCTACCAACTGACAGGATATTCAGCCTTTTAAAGAAGATATAGTATATCACCTTTTTCCATATCATTCTTATGACGTGTTGCTCATACATTGTTCAAAATATCCTCTAAAATTACCACTGTTACAATATTTTACTCCACTCTTTCTTAACAAGTCAAAGTTAAATATTCTCCTCCTTCGATTGTAATCTTTATTTTCTTTTCATTCTTTCTAGTGTCCAACTTTCAAAGTCCTATCATATCATGTTTTTTTTTACAAAGAACCCAGAATCCTATCAGAGGGATTTTAATTGTTAATATCAAATTCCAAATCTATACGGAACCTTATTCTATACATTTGTAACATTTTAACATCAACATTCGAAATACCCTTTTTCAGTTTATTAAAAAAATAATATTTTCCAAGTCTTAGACTTGCATTTAAAATTTTCTCTAAGGAGAAGGAAATTCACCCAGTGAATGAAATAAAAAAAAAATCTGCTCCAAAGGATTTTAACATTTTCAAAGCAATAACAAATAATTCCAAAGATGATTAAGAAATAAGACCCAGCTGAACTTTTGTTTATAAAAGGCTGCATTACCTCTGTAAGCTTAGATGGTACCCCTCAACTCCCTGCCACTTAACTATAAACCAACTGCAAAACCATGTTTCTGAAGTCTATTCATAAGCCATAAATGTCATCTCACTTCAATAGGGACCTCTAGCTCACCATGGAACTCACCAAAAGTTCCATACATTTAGCACTTTTCATGTCTGGGGTCACAGTTAACTGACACCTAAATTTGATTAGGTGTCATATTTTTGTTTTAGTTGGTGTATAAAAGATTAGCATATTAAACCTATAATATGATTTAGCTTTTGTGTTTATTACATTAACTAATATTTTTAATAAGCTTATTGGGGCTTTTAAATATTATTGATTTAGTTTGCCACCTTGACATGGCTTTCAGAAAAACAGATGTGATAAAGCTTTAAAAATAAACTCACTAAAGCTCTAAAAGTAAAAGAGGCAAATTTTCTCTAAATTGTTCCCAGAGTATCCAGTTAAATGCCTACATAAACCTATAAGTAGGACAAAGTATATAATTGGATCAATCTGCTCATGTCTCTTAGCAACTTATGCTGAGAAACATGACATTCAGCTTGATATTGAAGGTCATTGTGATTATCCCTATTAATACTCTAATTGCTTATATATAAAACTAAGCAGATCTGAATTGCAGAACACCAGGAAATAGCAGCTGTAGGCCAGATTATAACAATATTGGCGCATGCACATAAACTTGCCTGGAAGAAAAAAATATTTTACCTCTAGAAACAATACAACATTATCTTACTATAGAATGGAATGGAAAATATAGTCAGAAGTTTTTCTACAAACAAAATACTCTCTGGAAGAGAGTAGACCAAGCACTGGATTTAAATGAGCAGAAAGAATCATATTAGAATACTTTTAATCTGTATTACCTGAACATTTTTCCTTTGGTCCTGAATTCCACAATATCATAATTCCAAATTATCAATAGAGAATAATATAAATACTTAATGCAACATTTATTTCAGTTACTGAAATACAGACAAATCAACACAAGCAGTCTAATTCTTACTTTGTAGAAGAAAATGTCACTTACTAATCTCTCATTTCAATTAGATGTAACTCTAATTATATTCTAATAGCATTACTTTCTAAAAGGTTATATAACTCATTACAACAATAACCTTTGATAAAGTGAAATAATTAGTACAAAAGTTTTTAAAAAA